ACGATAGAGTCATATCGGCAATCGATCACATTTATAGAGCCAAAAAGTGACCAGCTAGTTGTACGTGATCCGGATAAGATGCTATTAATCTTGAAATAACTCGAGACCTTCTATTTTTTCACTTCACAGGCCACTACCGTGAGCACAAGCATTCAAAAGAAGAATTGAACTACCTTGTTTCGGTCGGACCATATCGTCCGATTCTGACAAATTTCCCGAAAAATAAGGAACTGGCGGTGTCGAAAGATACCTGCAAATTTGCTGTGAAATGGTGCGATGAGTATTCATTTCTTGAATATAGTGAAGCAAAAGACGCCGCATTTTGCTTTACCTGCCGTCTTTTCCACGAAGATACGGCTCATAGTGATTCTGTTTCCATTAACTACGGTTTGGTGTATCTTTTAGGCCCTGGTGACGATAAAAAAGAATTCGCCTGGATTTCAGTCGGTGTTAAGTCGTGGGCTAAGATGAAAGGGCGTGGAAAGGATAAAAAAGGTAATTCTTCAAACTTCAATTCATCCATTCATTGCTTTTCTTTCTAGGGAAACTTGAAAAACATTTCTCATCTACTGCCCATAAATCTTCTCAAGATCGATATATCTTCAAAACAAAGAGTATGAACGTCGACATTATGTTGAATAACGATTGCTCAACAACAACAGGAAGCTATACTCGAGTTGAATAAACACATCGTCCTTACATTGCTGGATTCCGCTCGTTATCTGGTTAGACAAGGGTTGGCGTTTCGAAGAGAGCCTGAAGAGGAAGGTATCTGTGTCATTCTTTCCTGTGTTCGTTGTGAAATTCCTATTTCCTTTTAGGAAATTTTGTCCAGTTGTTGAAGTTTCTTCGCCGCCATGATCGTGTTCTAGATGATTGGATCCTTCAAGCAAAACTAAAACCGTACCATGTGAGTATCAGCAGGATGGTGCTGCTGATGAGCTATAAGGATGCTACCAGCATCCTTATAGCTCACTCTCGTTTCTTACTCATCATTATTCTATCTAACAGGTTAGCTACACAAGCAAGTTTTCTCAAGATGAGTTCATAAAACTGTTAGGTGACCACGTTCAACAGTCAATCATCAATCAGATCAACGATTCAACCTTCATCTCAATCATGATCGACAGTACACCGGACACCTCTCGCCGAGACATGTACTCCATTGTTCTTCGCTTCACAAAACATTTCGTCGTTGAAGAACGTCTACTTGCCGTAAAGCGAGGTATTAAAACGAGATATTATTCACATTCCATGTGGTCCACACACATGGAATTTGGCTGTGAAACATGCCTGCGACTGTAGCATCGAGTTCATCAACCTCTTCAATCTTCTACAAAAGCTGTACAAGTTTTTCTCGTCGAGTATCAAACGCTATCACATTCTTCGCCAATCAGTTGAATCTACACCGTATGGCGTGCTTCTGAAAAACGTTGCTATCACTCGCTGGTCAGCTAATTACGAGTCACTTCGTGCAATTTACGCATCCCACAAACAAATCATTGACTGTTTCATATTAATTACAGACCAAGACGTTGGTGAGTAGATGTATTAGTTCATTAATTGGCCTTAGTCTAATGTTCTGTTCTTTTCGACTATTCTAGTCGATAAAGAAACAGCAAACCAAGCGAAGAATCTCAAGAATAAACTAATCTCATTCGAATTCTCTCTACTATTATCGTTTATGGTTAAACTGATGAGAACAACAAACGGTTTGACCGCTCATTTACAAATGAAAGAGCTTGATATTCTCACAGCGTTTGAAATTATATGTAATACACAAAAACTATTGCAAATGATGAGAAATGACGATGTAACTTTGATAAATATCATAAATGTAAGTCCACGTTATCTGCGATTTCTTCACTCATTCCCGTTTCTTACTTCCTAGGAATGTGAAAAGGACGTGGGATTGTTCGATGTTAATATCGACGCAGAGTTCACAAGACTACGTCGTCCACATCAACGTTCACGAAAAATAGACATGAATCCTCAGTCGGCTGTCAGTTTGTCTCGGTAAGATCTACCTTAGGTCAATTTAAGATTTTTCAAAGTAATTTTTGGGTGATAAAATTTAAAAATATCGAGTTTTTAAAATTGGGTAAAAATCAGTGAACTTTCCAAAAATATGCAAAAGTTTTGTGCTTACTCTATTTTTAAAATTCGAAATTATTTTTTTAAAATTCAGTATACAAAACGACGTATAAAAAATTAATTTTGACATTTTTGAAACCAGAAAATGGTTTCGGAGTTCGCTGAACACGATCAGAACCGTTCACTCACTCACTAAAGTCCCGCGAGGAAAAGTTCCAAAAAATCAAAGTTGTTGAAAAAGCCATACTTAACTTTTTCCTCACTTAACTTCTAACTAACTTCTAAATAACTTTTTCTCCATTTTTTAAATTTTTTCACCCAAAAATGACTTTGAAAAATCTTAAAGTTAGCTTTTTCTTAGCAACTCGATGAGTTCTGTTCAATTACGGGAAAACAGTCGGGAAAAAGAATTTTGCTATCTGTTAGAATTGCCGGCACGTTACACTTTATCTTCTAGAGAACAATTCTATTTAAAACTGTTCCGAGAAGTCATTGATCATCTCTATTCGACTTACAATGAATATTTGAAAACGATCAACGAAAAACTTTGTTATTTTCATAATATTATGCCCGGTAAAGTGCATGAATTCTCGCTCAATGACGCCAAACATTTGTGTAAAATTGTTCCGAAGCTGTCCAGCCCAGAATTATTACTTACTGATTTTGAGCTGTTACGTAGCAGCATCGAAGAATGCTCGAATATGAACGAAATCGTCAACAAGTTGAAAGTTGTTGGACATGCTTATCCACGTGCGTCCGTCGTCTATAATTTTCTATTGACGCTACTGATAACCGTTGCCACGTGAACGATCGTTCTCAAAAATGAAACTCGTTAAAAATTACCTGCGATCAACATTAGATAATGGAAAACTCATCAGCCCCTAATGCTCTGCTCAATCGAAAAGGATATTCTGGCGAACATCGATTTAAAAATCGTTGCTGACGATTGGGCAAGAATGAAAGCAAGAAGAATAAAACTTAATTGAACAGTTTTTGCTTTTTTTCCCTATATTCTTACAAAAATACTTGTTTTGCTATTCTGATGTTTTTCAAAGTTGTTTATTTTTCTGATGTCAAGTAAATATCATTGATGTTTTCTTCTGCTATGATGTATATAGCAAAACAGTTTTATACCGAAAATTCATAAAAAATTTATGGAGCCCCCCAGTTTTAGAAGCCTGGCGCCAGCCCTGGTATAATGTATGGAATTCGTTTTAATTTTATAAATTACACGAATTTGGAATGGCAAACATAACTTTCTTTTTCGGAACATCTAGTCAGAGAAGCCCAAGTTCTATATTTACTTTCTCCGATAAAATCACTACAATTAAATTGAAACGGATCTTTTTTACTAACGTTTATCTATGATATTGACAGGTATTTCTTAAAAACTAAAAGAAACTTGTTTCTGAAAAATATATCAATGTTCCGAGTTATAAGTCTCTTAAAGTTTCATTTATTCAAACCAGACGTAAAAGTGATCACTTATAACAGACTTATCTATTTGAGAAAAATTTTGTCTGAATTTTGCATGGTAATATAATTTAGTTACACTGGTCTTATAGCACGCTCATTTTCTTCTCAATTAACAAATTAGACATAGTGTACATATTCTGTATATAGCTAAATAAATAGTATACAGATGATTTAAAATATACAGATTACAAAATATTATACAACAAAATCTATCTCACCCTCACCCCATAGCTGACTACCTCCAGTTTCATTCTCTCAAGTGGAAATGATGTTTTTGATCAATAGAATAGAGGTTGCTCATACCTATTTTCTGATTCCCTATACTCGACTACCTACTCCATATCATTTTGATCCAATCAAGTTTTGCTCTACTAGTCTATCTGTCGCTAATATCTGGTCTGCGGACATACATACATATAAACATACATGCAGGCATTTTAACTCGATAAGACCCTTTTCTTTGCAGTCAAGGGAACTTCATTTAATAATTTTCAATAAAAAAATTACTTTCGATTCTGCTGTATACAGGTAATATAGGTGTATAGGTAAGCACGACGATCGTGATCATAGTTTTTTAAATAAAATAGAAAACTACGATTATAACCATTGCATTTTGCAACCTTGTTTTTAGCATGAAAAAACTCAGATACGTGACAGAATTAGCCTGCAGTTCGAGATGGCTATCAGCTCATCATGTTCCTCATTATAAAGTTGCGTCTTCGTCATTGAATAAATGCTTGTAGAGAAGTTAATACTACAGATGAAAAGTCGATGACTGTGAAGGACGTACGAACAGATACATCAGACACAATCACAATCACTTGTGATTGATGGGACTCAGTGACTAGACAGCATCACTGCTACTAAAGGTATCGTTGTGGACGGATATGCACAATTCTTAAAAGTTATTCTATATAGTAAACTACGTTTTCTGCTCTTGAGTTTAAGGATAGCTGAGAGCTTGTTGTATGTATGCGACTGTACTTTGTTGATTAGCATCAACTATTCTATACCAAAAGGAATTTTCAGCAAATATGTTTTCATGCTAAGGACCATTGAATATTTTTCCAAATTCTTTCTTTGTATTTTCAAAGTATTTCGTCTTGTATTCCAGACGCGATAATTTTACGTAGGCTTAAGACAACAAATTTTCTTCTTTTTTTATATTTATTCAATATTTATCTGCATTATCCTTCTACACCAGAAGAACGAATTGCGAATTTACTTTTCCTTTGAACTTTGAGAAAAGTTGGGGAAAAAACTACGGTTATAGGACTAACTGAATCCGCAAGAAAACCGTTAATTCTTTCGATTATTATCTCATGAGTCCGAAAAAAGATTTTTCGCTTTTTAAAAACTATAAATAGACTAAGTTTTATTTAATTGACTTTAAAATTCACCTTGCAGCACACATAAGATGCTTGTGTTGTTCACCATACAATATCATCAATTGTTTCGTTAAGGCTATGATGGTTTTGATATATACCAACGTATGTATAAAGATCTGGTTTATAAGCAATACGTTTAACAACTGTATTTGATTCAATTAGAACCTTTTGTAATTCATTTTTTATTGTTTCCCGTTCGTCCAAATCAAGAAAATTATTCGTATAAACACAAATAATATGTGTTTTTATGCCATTTGGATTCGATGATTGAACTTTAGCTTGATGACCAAGACGACCGTTGCTAACTGCACGAGCAATAACAGACCACACACGATCAACATCTGGTGTATCAACAAAACACATCCATTTCCCACATAACATATTATATTTTAGCGCCAATTGTTTCATATATTCTTGATTTAGGTTTGTGCCCAGTATGTACTCCATTTGCTTAAATTCTTGGTATAAGCCATTCAAGTTTTGTACACCCAGATTCTTGGCTTTTGATCGATTATGCACCGATATCCATATGCACCCGTTTGTATAATTAACTCTAGATGGTGGCATTTCTCCAAGGAATTGCTCAATTCTGGTATTATCAATAAGATGCAACCATCCATTATATAATAAAGCATAGCTGTAGCCATTATTCATCATGTAGCCGTTCATCATATCATTTCGTGGATATGTTGGTGATATTGGTGTAGCCATGTTTACTTTCTGGTCAAAAGCAGGTATATAACTCATCTGAGGTATTATCGGTTGCCATATTACGGGAATAACCATATCTTTTTTATGTCTGCCTAGGAAATTTTAGCTGTAAACAAAAGAAAGCATGTCAAACAAGTAATAAAATCGCACTATTTTAAATTATAATCACAGATCTGGGTAATAGAATATATCGTCACATTGTAAAAACATCATTAATTTACGCAAGATATCTAGCTACAGAATCTGTGTGAAAAGTAAATGCCTTTTAGCACAACACTGTAAACAACTGGCACTAATTGTGCGCGTAGAGGAGTGGTCCGAAACATGAGTCGCAGCATCAGATACCGATAGGCAACGAAATAAATGGTTGTGGCAATCATCTATTCCGCAACACTTTGTCTATCCTCATAGATGCGTAGCAGAATCCGCCATTATCAAGAAATCGCCTGTTAAGTGGTGAAACAGAATCATTTGGGTTTCCTTGTCTTGCTTATCGAACTGATGATGATAATATCTTACATGACTTTTGTACCTTCTCACAATGAAAATATCACCGGCTGATCCATATGCTGGCGGTATATTATTTTGTTATTTTGAGAAAAAGTCTAACTTGATTTCTCCGCATGAGCTGTCCCAAGAACGAAAACGTAAGAGAAAAAATCTAGATACACTCACCGGAGCATCCCGGTTCTCCACCCATGAAAAAAAGTTTATATAAAAGAATGGTTAAGAACGTGTTCCCGAAAAAATGGAGCGGGTTTTATCAGCTAAGAACGCGTTTTTGGTAAAAAAGAACGCCTCGGAACTCGTTCGAACGCATTCCTAGTAAAGAACTCGTTTCTTCAGAAGACAAACGTGTTGTCATTGAATGTGTTCCTGATCGATAAGAACCCCTTCCTGAGGAACGCGTTCGAATGCGTTCAACAGAAATCGCGTTCTGTGACTCTGAGAACGCGTCCCTAAAAGAAGAGATATTTAAACAGTTCAAAAATGACGCATTCTTACAGTCTTAAAACGCGTTCGTGCGTTTAGCCATTTCTGACTTAGAAGAGTCCGTTCTTCAGGAGTGCGTTCAGTAAGAACGTGTTGTTAAGTGAGAGGAACACGTTTTTGATTATTTCAAGTCGAACGAACAGAACGTCGTTGCTTAGATTTCAAGATGGCATACGAAGGTCGTGGCTGATGTGCTTCTGAGGGGTATCCAAGAACTAAAAAATAGGAATTTTTGACCTGTTTAGCAATTGTCAACAGAGCCATGATTATTCTTTGAGGAAGGATAGGATTGACCGTCAAGTCTCCCCGTTCCCTTGGGTTCCACTACATCCAAAAACCAGAATCATGTATTCTTCCTAACATTTTTTCACACGTACACACCCCAAATTCCCTATTTCTCGATACAAGGTGGGTGCAGGAATGATAAATATTGTGAACAATGCATCATTCTGATTTTTGGATGTCGCGGAATTCATGGGGAGTGTGAGGGAATTGACGGTCAGTTCCTCGGTACGTCGGAGAATTGTGACTCTGTTCTCAATACCCTGATATTGAAACAGGTTAGAATTTCTATATTTCGATTCTTGAACACGGTTGTCATTATTCGCAATTACGCTTTGGCGCTCGTTGCTCAATGTACAGAGCTTGTGCTCTATTTGTTCGTCTGGTTTGCAAGGCTCTTGTTTTTTCGTGTGTGTGTGTGTGTGAATACGCAAAACTGTGGTTCAGAACTCAGTTTTAATGAAAGCCCGTTACAGTTCTCAAAACAATATTGAATCTTCCAAAATCATACTAAAACCTATTTTGGTCATCATTAGAATGAGATTACCGTTAGGATATCGAACGAATGTCTAGATTCACTCCCTCGTTACGTATAAACAAAAATTTCAACTTATAAATAATAAACGTGATGTAGTCTAATAATAACTCGTTGGACTCTTGATCATAAGGTCCCCAGGTCGAATCTAGGAGAGAGCAAAGAAAAACGCTCCCGAATGCCCTTGAACCTGAGACTGCGTTCCACTACTACAAGAACGCGTTACTTGAGAACGGAGACTGAGCGAGGAGAGGAACGCGTTCAGAGACGGGAAGAACTGACAGAGAGTTGGGAAGAGCGGAGCGGTAAACCCTTCTTCCACCAGTTAACAGGAACGCGTCCTGAAGACGCGTTTAGCGTTCTTTTGGACGTTTTTATTGCCCAAGAACGATTTTTTTCTCAAGGCGGTCCTGGGAGAGAGTAACACGTTTTCGTTTGCAGAAATAACGCGTTCTTTCAACAGTAAAACGAGTTTGAAAAGAACGCTAAAAGCATCTTTAGGACGCATTCCATTTTTTCAAGAATGCGCCCTTCGTCATTCTTTTTTCTGAACTGTTTTTCATGGGTAGCAAAAGTATCTAGATAAAAGAGTAAAAAATATCGGGTTAGTTAGATACATCGGGCTTGACCGGACTACAATCTGAGAAGCACTTCCTTTGTGGTGAAAACTTGAAACTTAGCTTTAAAAAAGTGTTTTTTCACTGTGAAGGAGATGTTTCCCTAAATTGAGCTAGTAGATGAAATGTAGCAAATTCAATTTTCTGAATAATGTCTGTCAAGATCAGTTTTGCACAACTCTATCTTGGCGATGCAAAACGATAACTACTGTTTCTCATCATTTACAGTAAGGCGATGCATCTAGCTGAAAACGGTCTTATACTGGTACTACCATCCTTTTGAATTTGACTTGCCGAACAAAAGAGAAGACCAAATACCAAGTGGTCTTCTCTCATGTTCTGTTATAGGAAGGGTTTAGATGCATGTCCTGAATGGGTTAATCTATTAAATTACTTGAATATGTAGTCACTCTCTAAAAAAAGAAAACGGTGTTTTTGGAAACCGTTAAGGATTCGGGAAAGTGCAACCAGGTGAAACGTTTTAGGGGTTTAGTAAAGTTGTAAAAAACCCCGGAAAGTTTGTGGAAGAGTTTTCAAGCCTACTAAATCTTTGAAAAGCGTTTCCTAGTAGCACTTCTCCGAACTCTTAAAGTTTCGGAGTAGTAGGCCAAAACTTTTCCTAAAAATCCTTTTTTCCAGAGTACTCTCTAAAAGAAATAGGCATTTTAAAAACCTGAAAAGGGTTCCGAAAACTGCAAATATACGGAACCCTTTTCGGAGTTTAGTAAGGGGTTTTTCACCTACTAAACCCTTTTTAAGTTCGTATATTTGCACTTTCCCAAACCCTTTTTAAATTTCAGTTACAAATTAAATGTGTATGTTTTACAGGATAGTTCCTTCTATTGGAAATGATATTACGTCTGCTTATAATTTGGGTATTTAACGATTCTGTTCTTATATAGAGAAAGGAAACGAATTGAGTTTTCAGCTCTTTCTAATACTTAACTTTTTGAAGATAGTTGTCAGTTCAAGAAGAAATGGAAGGTTATATAATAGATCAAACATTCATTCACAAACCTTTGGACTTTAGCAGCAACGATGAAAAACCCTTTTGATTTTTTAAAATAGTAAAAGGGTTTATATGTCAATCTTTGGGTTTAGTAACGAAAATAGAATACCTTTAGGGTTTTTGTGACATTGATAAAACAGCCTTTGTTTTCTTAAAACTCTTTGCCAAAAAGTATTTTAAAAAACCAAACCGGTCTAGTAATGATACAAAACCCTCAAATAGTTTCTCAAATGTGCCACCTGTTGAGTTTAGAAACACGAATAAAAATCGTCTGGGTTTTTTAAACTGCCTATTTCTTTTAGAGAGTACCCGCCATTTGTCCCTTTTCTGAAAGAGGAGTGTACGGATGAGAGTAGCTGGCATATAAATTAAAAACGCGTTTCCCGACCTTAAAGTTAGATGTTGGTTGGATGTTTCAGTGTATTTTTTAGATGAATTTTCTCGATAAACATTCAAGTACGGATTGAAGATGGGAATTAACCTTAATGTCTTACTAAAGCTTTTAGTTTCTGAAACCGAGAAACATTTTGTATCAGGATTTAGCAGCTCAAAAGGTTTCCTTAAAAAACCGTGTTTCTTTAGAGAGCATTTGATTCTGTTTGAGGAACGTCAACCGAAGACTCGAATACATAGTAAATACTCTACGGTACATATTTTGGTCATGATATGTTCCAGGCGGCTACTCCTCGATTCTGTGGCAAATCATCTCATAACATCCTTTCTTGAACGAATCTAATCACCAGGATATATTATAGAATGTCGTATAATTTCGACGAAATCTTCAAAACGAGAAAATCTTCTTCTAAAAAAATTCTTTTTACGAGAAATCACTATGATATTCATTATCTGCGTTAAAAACCGAATTAACTGCTGTATTACACGTTCATGACGAAGAGAATCTAATTAAAATCTCCAAGTACGAGCCTCTCCAGCGGTCTTTTACAAAAGATGCTCGCTGATTCTTTTGAAAACGGTTTTTGTGGATGCTTAATACGACAAATACGATCTAAGCAGTTGCTGATTCAAAGAAATAGTTAAGTCCCTCCTAATTTGAATTTTCCTAGCTATGCATCTTATTGAACTGAACTGAAGTGAATTTTATGTAAATAAGATCTCGTACAAAAATCAAAGACTTATAATAAATAGTGCCATCTGTACGAACGAGAAAAGGACAACCGCAAAAAAAAGAACCCAGAGTACTCCCACACAGCTCCACCCATTTTAGGCACAAGTACGAATCGCGAGAATTTATACAGGTTTCCTAGTACTATGGGGGAGGGGAGGAGAGTGCGTGAATTATTATCAGTGTAACTTTTTCTAGTTTGATTCTGACTTCTGATGGGCGTAAATTAATTAGTTTTTTAAAAGTAAATTTTCTTATTGAATGCGAGTTTGTAGCGAATAGAATTAAAGAGAAAGCATAGAAAGTTTTTCCAGACAGTTTGTGGAAGAAGATTTATTCCTCGACCGCCAGTGTTGGAAATCGAGGACAGTAAAAATGAGCGATTCTAGTAAGAATTTGCTCTTAAAGATCACGATATTTATAGGTTTGGTGTTTCTGCTCCAAGCAAATCGAGTAAACAAATAAATCGAAAGTTTATTATTGTCATAATTTTTTCTTTTCATGAGAACCAACAGAAATTAAACTAGAAAAAGTAAGAAAACTGTAAAAGCGTTGTTGTCGGTTTTTCCAACTTAGTGCGTCTAGAAGACCATGAAGAAGAAAAAGAAAAAAGAAATCTCTTGGTAAACTATGATGAACGCTTCTATATCGGAAAAAATGAGAAAAATCTCCCGTGCAGTTTAGGTTTTAGCCTTGCCAAAATCTGGCTTCGTAGTTATGAGACCCCACTCTTGAGAGAAACGGTCTGACTAGACGAAACTTATGGACTAGAGGGAATTCCGCATGCAAAATCTGATGATACCCATGCAGGACTTTTTAGAGATCTTCACAGGTTCTTTACAAAAACCTCTAAGGCTTCTGTCTATTTTTTAGTTGGATCTGGTGTAAAATGGATATTAAACATGGTATTCTTCAGCAGAGGGTCTCTAGGACTTCCTCAGAAAACTACTGGATTTCTACTGTCTTTGAGATCCTGACAGTTTGAAATGAAGACTGGGCATGCTTTTCGACGCGCAGATATCTCTTACCTCGCTACTTGACATTTGACAGTTGGCTTCGAGACGAGCAAAGCGAGTCGAAGAACTTTTGCTCTTTTGGGCCAGTCAGCAACCGGCACCTGCCACTCCTGTGGACTTCACTTACTCCCCCTCCCTTTTCGTACTAGGAAACCTGCACAAAGAAATTTTTGCAGCTCGTACTTGTGTATAAAGTGGATGGACCTACCCCTACATTTTTATAAGATGTAGTTGATGTGTCCCTTAACGAATTTTGATTAGGACCACATTTGTGAGAGAACTAACTTACTGTGTCAATAAAACAGAACTGTGGTATATTTTGCAAGTACATCATGTATTTGCATAACTGTATTTAAGCAAATTCAATCAACTAATCTCATTTAACGTGACGGCACCCTTGAATATGACTGCAGTTTTTTTTTTCTATATAAAATACAAGGAATTTATTCAACTGAATCGTTAGTGATCAGATAGTATGGACAGTCTATTTTTGATAATGAAATAAATAGTTATATTAAAAATTATATTACTAATTAGCGAGAAAAAAAATTGCGAGGTGCAACTACTGTCTCCTCGCAACCAATGCAGACTATATCCTTGTTAAAATAATTTCTAAATAATCCAATGTCATTTCATTATACATCGTCTGTCCACATATAAAATTTGAGGCTAGAATCAGGTGATGCAGCTAGGTGTGAGTCTGGTTAGATTAGTTTAATTAAAAATAGCTGCTGGTAAATGGACGATCATGATATATGTCGGAAAGAGCGTACAGAGTTCATCGTTTATTTGAAGTGAGTTTCTTCGATGTGGAACCTTATATCATACTGTATAATCTCGCATATCATTCTCCGTATTATGTCAGTCGTCACTGACATTCCTTCCTCTTTCCGCTTTTGCTATTCATTTCTCATGATTAGAAAGAATGTTGACTCAGTTCTCGTTGAGTCAACATTCTTTCCTGATTTATATATAGTGTTGGTTTGTACACACTGGAGAGAGTCTTTTCTGTTTTAATGTGTTTGTGATTTGATTGTTCGAATAAAATTCAGTGACAGGCTAGCAAATGGTGCAACTGGTTGGCTTACTGTCAATCCAAATAATGCAAGCAATCCAAATAATCCAATCACTATCACTAGCCGGCGTGCTTTCATTCCATTGTGGCATTAAAAATGGAGCACGTTGATGCCATCTTATAGCAGACAATATTGAAAGATTTAACGAAATTTAGTGGCAGTAAACAGCAACATGCCAATGACTGGCTGTTAACAATTAATCAGAAATTCGATGTATATGAGTTGAGTGAGTAACAACGTCGTAAGTGGGCTGTGGCATTTCTTTCTGACGAAGGATTGAAGTCGTATACTCGTCAACTGATTAAATTTGAAGCATGGAATGATTTACAAAATGCGCTGCAAGACAATTTTCCATCATCACCCGAACCATCATAATCTCTTCAAATTCTCTTAAGAAAACAAGGTGACAGAAAAATTTACTCAATATTATGGAGATATGACTAAGCTATGTACACACTATAATCCAGTAATTACTAACGAAGAATGTATCGATCGATTAAAGTTGGGCATGAACACATCTTTATTGCAAAGCTGTTCTGGAAGTATGTTCACTTCCCCACAAGAACTACTTGCATATATTCAACGTTTAGAACTCGATCAACAATTTATTAAAATACTCTCAGCGTCACCGGGTAGCAAAGATGACAACATTCGTAAATTATTGCCAACATCAAATTCTCCTCCACAGCACCCTACATTCATACCAATCAATTCCATATTATCACCAACTCCTTTTCAACAACGAAATCGTCGTACTACGAAAAGCTTAGACTGTTACCATTGTGGCCGTAGCGGTCATTTCGTCAGACATTGTCCGAACCGACTTCGAAAAGTTTGCAGAACTAATCCGTCGCTTGTATATATCAACGGTTACGTAAATAATCGACAAACACGTACACTCATCGACTCGGATGCCACACACTCATTTATAACTCAATCGGCACTTAGTAAAATTCGTCATTCACCGCTACTGCCGTCGAAAAACGTCCCATACTTAGCTGATAGTGTAACTCCATTACATGTTTGTGGTGAAATTAATTTGAACATTCGCGTACATAATACGAATACTCCTATCTCAGCACTAGTCGTTAAACCGTTAAATGCCGACTTCATTCTGGGCTCAGATTGGTTTAACGAAACCGGCGCAAGAATTGAATATGATCGTCATCAAATAACCATTCGTTCTTATAATGGTCGAACAGCTATTCCTTTCGATAAAAATATCGACACAATTGCATTAGATGTCAAATTACTCAACACAGTCAGCATTCCACCACGCGAAGCTAGTGTTGTTGAGGCAAAAACAGACGTGTCTTCGGCACATACGGTTTATTTCCATCCAGATGCAGATTTTCTCGAGTGTAAATCGGTCTTAATGGTCAATGTAATATTAAAAGTCCAGAATTACAAAACATTTATCAAAACTTATAATAATAGTGATCGCACACGAACATTATATAAGAATGCAATTGCTGGACAGATCACCCACACTCTGGGCAACGTCGAAACATTTTCTATACAACAACAGACTTCGCCTCTAAATACAAGGTCAACAACAACACCCATATCATCGACACCTCGAACTATTCATCAGTTAGTCGCGCACGTTAAAAATCCACTACAACGCCAAGAAATTCTCGGGATATTAACATCTCATGCAGAAATTTTTGACTTGTCAAAAATTACACAACCAAATACCAGAGTACAACATATAATTAACACCGGCGGTGCTCTTCCAATTAGTTCGCGTCCGTATCCGAAAACCGTACAACAGCGACGAGAATTACAAGCAGAAATAGGAAAAATGATTGCTAATAAACAAATTAGACCTTCCAATTCGCCATGGTGGTCTCCGATTATTCTCCATAAGACAAAGGACGACGGCACACGCTTCCTAATCGACCACAGAAAGCTTAATTCTGTTACCAAAAAAGATTCATACCAGCAATTAACTACTGAAGAACTATTAGAACGATTGGGAGGATACAAGTATTTTACGAAATTAGATTTAAAATCTGGATATTTTCAAATACATGACAAGACAAGGAAAAAGCAGCATTTATTACACAAGAGGGACTATGGGAATTGTCTTACCACAAGGCGTTATGAACGGCCCACCAACGTGTCAACGAGTCATGCATCATTTAATTGGAAATGGAAGTTGGAATTACGTAGTTGTTTACCTGGATGATAATCTCATATTTTCAAAAAGTTTAGATGATCATAAAAGACATTTAACAGAAATTTTATCGATAGTACAGAAGGCTAATTTTCAAGTTAATCCAGAGAAATGTACCATTGCAGTCGAAGAAATCGAATTTTTAAGTCATATCATTAATCATGATCAAATTGAACCATCACCAGAAAAAATTAAAGCTATAATTCAATTAGTACCACCGCGAACACTGAATGAAGCCAATGAATTTATTGGTAAATTAAACTGGCACGGAAAATTTATCCCACGTTTTGCGGAACTTGCAGCACCTATTCACAAAGTAACCAATAAAACCAAGAAAACGAAACATGACTTTTATTGGCAAAAAGAACAACAAGTTGCGTTCGACCGATTTAAACGAATATTAACTACCGAGCCATTATTTCTGCAATACCCGGATCTAACAGCACCCTTCGTCCTATCAGACGCATCAATTATTGGCATCAGCGGTATATTACGTCAAACTACTCAGCATGGCACTAGAATACGTTATTATAAATCTGGTACATTCTCCGACACCGAAAAATGTTATGATCCAATGAAATGCGACATTAGCTATTTATTGGAGTATAAAGCAACTACACGAATACATTGAAGGCTCATGTTTTTCGACAGAAACGGACAGTCAACCATTGATCAACTTCCATAAAAAACAAATCGATAATAAACGTGTTATGCACTGGCTATTTAAATTACAAGATATTATACCACAAATTACTGAAGTCAAATACTTACCACGCGCCGAGAATACCGGCCCCGATTATCTTTCGAAACATCTGGTATCGTCGACAATCTTTTTCACACAATTAAATTCGGTCATTACACGATAAAATGAGTGTCACCTGTACCGTGTCCGACTACCGTCACACCATCCGTTTCAACGCCGATATCGTCAACAAATAATCCTTTGCCACCATTATTCGACTTTAACCTAGATCGAATTAGAAAAGAACAAATGGCAGACGCTAATATTATAGAAACATTTAACTTGGTCAAACAAAATCCGTCAAAATCATCATTTACAATTAAAGACGGTGTTTAAACTATTACCACGAGGAAAACGAAAGTTCGGTTGCCTTACATTCCAAAAACGCTAATCAAAGATATATTATTCACTCATCATGATCATCCATTGGCTGGATATCTTGGTATTGATTGCACATGGACAAACATTAAAACAAATATTATTGGCGAAACATGAAATTTTCAATCGAAAATCATATTCGGGCATACCCAGAATGCGCCGAATTTAATATACAACGTCAAAAACCACCTGATCTATTACAACCTATCGATCCCCCGTCTGAAGTATTTCAAGTGCTTGGTCTCGATTGGTGGACCCGGCTCCTGTCTCGTCTGATGAAAATAAGTACGTTTTAGTGATAACTGATCGTTTGTTTCTTTTCATTTGAAATAGTCATCGCATTCACTAACAGGCACTGAGATTAGATAAATCATGTGAATCTACTAGTTTGATCATCACATTTGCCATTTGTATTTATTCTTCGGGGAATGCGCTAGTTGGCATTTATATAGCAAGAGTCATGCATGATAAAAAAACTTTTGTATTCTTCTTGATCACGAGCTACCAGGCAATTCCATTAATCACCATAACTTGATTTTTGAGGCTCTCATCCAAATCGTCATGATAGTTACGGACTATGTACATCAGTTTTTCTGTGTCGTTTTCTTTTCGCTTTCCACTATAACTTAATGGATTTCTAAACTGTATGTGTCGCCCAAATTTTTTTGATTCTGATTTTCTTACTAAACAAAGTTTAAATAAAGTTTACCCAACTTCTTACAAAATATCAGATTTTCTAAAACCTGTGTGAGAAATGAGGATGGAAAATCCAGACCTGTGGCACAATTTTTGCTGATTAATTTTTTTCAATTTCGCAATGAGATGGTCAAAAATGAAGAAGATAAGTCTAATATTAAGACATAGCATATTAACAACAAATTATTCATTCAAAATGACTTGCAAGAATCTATCGAACATTCGCGTAGCTTATTCTATGTATTTTTTCTGCAGTGTTGGCATGAACATGCAACTGAAGACACAGTAATACTATGCATTTTACACGCGTTTCTTCTCTATTCTATTTTTTTCTTCACTGTTCTTCTCTTGTATTACTCATATTTCTTTCTATATTATTAGTCATATGCTATCGAAGCAAATAAAGCATATAAATACCAGCACTTTTATCCATAAACTATTCTTTTTTCCACATTAAGACAAAGCACACGTAAGCACAATAAAACAACTGAAATGGCTCAAGCATTAATTGTTAAAGCTTATTATGATGATTTAAATCAAACTCATCCCGAAATTCGACGATTTACAGTAAGTAATCAATGTATAAGGAGAGTAGATAAACAATATATTTTCCTTCTTTATGCTTATTTTAGGTTGATATTACATCTGGTAGAAATATTTATCAGGAATTAGAAGCAAAAATTGCTCAACTGAATTCGGATTATGTCATTGGTCGATTTACACTTCAATACATCGACGAAGATAAAGATCGCATAACATTTTCATCTAATGATGAATTACGATCAGCTATTGGTATGAACAATGGTGGCTCAATAAAAATATTTGTTAAACCAAAACACCAACAGCGAAAAGGTGGTGAAAATATTCATCATGCTGGTGTTACATGTGATGGATGTCAACGTCAAGTATATGGTATTCGTTATAAATGTGTTGAATGTCCCAACTATGACTTATGTGAAATATGTACGAGCAAAGGTTTACATTCAGAACATAATATGTTAATATTGGTAAAACCATGGTCACGTCATTGTCCCTATTTTGGTGGTCGACGATTTGGAAGTAGAACTGACCACTGTGAAGAAGCACGTCGATTTTGGCGCAAACAACAAGGTGGTTTGAATGTTGGTGATTTGTTAAATCAATGCAAAAGTTCAGAAATTGCAGATTTGATTCAACAATATTTACCATCATCGCTACAAACAGAAAACATAAAACAATTGTTGGAACAATTACGAAAAGAAGATGGTACCATCAATGGACAAAATATTTTGGAACATGTTGGCAGCTTTTTACAAGAAATTCTTTCACCATTTGGAATTGATTGTGATTATTTTGTTGATCCAAAAACGTCGACAACAACTCCAAACGATACAAATCCAGAAACAGCAAAACAAGAAGAAGCCGGTGCAACATGTTCTTCAGCATCGACTTGCACAGAATCAAAAACAACAACGCCATCTGCACAACCATCTGCCACAACAACCGGTGCATCTGCCAACGATTCACCATGGGAACAATTAGCCTCCATGTTTACTACAATGATGGAAAAGCAAACTGGACAGACAACTACAACTAGTCAGGTTGATGAAGAGGCATGCGAAAGGAAAAAAATAGATGAATGTATTCAACGCCTGACCGCAATGGGTTTTATGAATACAAATGGTGTATTAGCAGAATTAGTCAAGGCAAAAAAAGGTGATCTCAATCAAGTATTAGATGCATTAAATCCAAGAAATTATAGCAAAAATTAACAAAGAATTCCAGAGTGGATAAAATATTTTTTCTAAGGACCACAGCATATTCAAACAGCTTTTTGCAAAATACTTTCTTTAAATTATCTCGAAATGACAACATAGCAACGTTTCATCTTTCCATCTTGACGCTAACTTCGTAGTAAAAACTGTCATTTCTATTGAAAGACAGCTGTATTTAGTCAAGACAAAAGAGAAACACTTTTTTGTATATATATGAAATTTTCAACAAAATACATATCAAGAAAATAAGTAAAATGTCTGCTTTAATCGAAGAAAAACGTGGCAAATAGTTTACAAAGAGATCGGATTCTAAGGCTTGTCAATCTAAGAAAGACTTTTGTTTGCAGGTCGCCATTAAACCAATATCACTTTTCTGATAAAAAGTATTAGTTTATTCCTTTACAGAGTAGGGTATTTCATGAGTCTTACGGCTCGGCAAAATTAGTTTCAATGCAAACAGAGAATGATCAAGTGAATGTATCTATATGAGCTTTGAGTACTCATGTCGGTCTTTCAAATGGCATGCTGTTGGATGACATCTTCTCTTGTGATAATAAAAATATAAACATGGGAATGTGATGATAAATTTTTCGAAATCGATCAACGTGATTTTTTTCAAAGTTTCAAGTTATAATAACTCGCTCTTTGGAGTTCTGTTGCCATTCTCTCTAAAATAAACCACCTCGAAAATCTAAACCATACCGATTTTTTCATCGCAATTTTGAAAACTCGTTACAATCACTTGTTCAAATCCCTTGCATTGTACATTTTTCTCTCACTTCTAGCGTATCTCATTTATATCCGCATGCCTGTGAAATTATACAGTCTAGAGAATAGGAAAACCGACGCATTATAACTTCTTCGAAATAAAACTAGTCCAATCAGAGTCGAGATGAAAAGATTTGATAGATAAGATCGAACAATAGTAACATCATCCCCTGACTTATTAGTTAGAACATCCACATAAAATATCGGAGATCTAAGTTTGATTCGAAAATCTGGCAACTCATTTCTTGTTCTCAAAAGTGACCAAGAAAAGTACTACATATGGCCATCTTCCACTACATCTTCAAATGTTAATCGTTTAACTATCGAATCAAATACTCTTATGTGTTTATTCAGTTCTATTTATCGTGAACCCAGAAAACAGTTAATGAAATTCTATGAACTGAATATTCGAAGTTTCGTCAGCTGAAACTTGTTTACAAAGAAAATTTTCAAATCCGTTTAGAGTTTTAAAAAAGTGCTATAGCATTCTATTCACTATACACGGCTGATAATGGCATTTCATTTTGAAAATCGAGTTTTTTCCATTAAGAGAGTGTTAAAGAGAGTTTGAACAGTTTCCTTTATCTTTCCTCTACCAGTTGGTAAACACAGTTAAACTCTTGTGCAAAAGAAGTTTTAGCACGAAATGAGGACCAAGATCGAACTTATTGGACGATGAGCTTATTATCAAACTCGAATTTTTCTAATCGGAGACAAAGAGAGAGTAAAATTCACTCAAATGAAAATACACTTCTCATGCTGTAAAAATTCCTGAAAAGTGCCAGTTTAGTCGCTACTGTTCAAGTTACTTAATCGCGTGCGGTTACCCAAAGCTTTCACAACTGCTCACACACCTTGGATCAAGCAAAAAAGAAAATGCCTTAACTGAGCTCGTAACTGGGCAAAGGTTATCGGAATCGGCTTCAATAAAAATGAATTAACAGAAAGGCTAAGATCTCGATCATAAGCTTAGAAGTACATCTAACTCAAGATTAACTGGTACATGTCTAACTGAAATCACTACATCGAAGTTAACGCTGGATCCAAATATTTCTACCAAATATTAGTCTCTTATGTGGTACATATTTGATCAGTAACCCACAGAGAATGATGATAAATGATTCGAAAAGGACAACCGAAGATCGATATTGCAAAGCCATAGCAATGTGATGTAATCAATGCATACTCAGAGTCAAATGAGAAAAAACAACAGTGATTCTTCGATTAAAACCAATAATAAGTTGGATCTGAAACTTTTCCGAAATTCTTCTGCTGAACAAAACCAGAACAGAGTTTCGAAACAAATCAATAATATAAAGTCTAGCACGAACATTTTTGCAACGTGAAATGTACATTGAAGTAGTTCTGGAATGAATAAAAATATTTTCATGCTTTTGTTTCTTGCAAATAAAAACACCAAAAAATGCGAAAGATCATTTCTTACGTTTTCTCAGACCAGCACTGGGAACACAATAAATAATCAATACATAAAGCTGATAATTACCAGTTTACTTTAAATCAAGGAACCCTAATGAATGAAGACAACGTCTTGGAGCGATGTATGGCCAATTTAAAGAAGCATCTGCTCACTCCACAGAGCTGCTTGTGAGTGAAATACAACCCTACCCGAGGCTGTAGTGAGCTCTCCCACCATTAAAGACTTCAAAAGTCGTTTGCGCCAACATCTGCAAATATGATTATGATAGTGTAAGATGACAAAAGTCTTACAGGTGCTAAGCACTTTTCTTCCTTTCTCATTTTCATATTAACGTTTTTGTTAAAAGTTTTAATATAACATCTCTTGAATTAATTGCCAAAACAAAACAGAAACAAGACATATAACAAAGAAAAGAAATACAGATATGCATAATAAAAAAGAAGTAGAAAACGACTACTAACTGTCAATGGATATAACGGTAACACATGATAACCACACATAGGTATGTACAGTGACTTGAGACAAAATACCTATATCTTTGAGCTGATCACTTGGTAGCATGAGAAGCTATCCCAAGCAGCGACCTTTATGGATGAAAATTTTCGTCCACGAGCGGCCATGGACGGGTGCAATTCCATCCATGGATGGTACCTCAAAAATGCTTCATGCTCATGTTCATAGATGAAAATGTTTTTTTGTAATAAAATAACATTAATCCTGCTGCCTATCGTTATTTGTCTTGCATTTTAATTCGGGTATTAATAGCCCCACTACACTGAATGTCCATTCTACAGTAGCTGTTGTTACTGGTATCGAATAAATTTTTCGCGTCACTTTAGACAGAATACTAGCGGACTATACTCTGAGAAGAAAAACACTTTTCGCTTTCGTCTGTGGACATCCATAGGCGATTCCCGTAGGCGTTTCCAAGCCTCTCAAAATTTTCCTATTCATGAACACCTGCGTCCATAACAATCTTTGGTTCCAATCATTAAAAGAATTGCAGTTAAAGCATGCGCTTAGAAAATCATATCGGACGGTCTGAAAAGTTATGTATAAACCAGGGCAAACAGCGATAGCAAGTTTGTTTTAGTCGTAACCAGTAATTATACATAAAGTGGAGGGCGCTAGGCCTGCAAAAAATGCAGTAAAACAATGACCTCTTTTTCTCTACACATGTTATATAATTAACTAATAATTCCTCTAATATTCGAAGTCACTAAAATACGCCTCTGAAAACTTATTTGATTATCTCCCGTTGCCTACCGTCGATATTCTAAAATACGTTGACTTAAGCTCCGAAAAACGGTAAGTCATTTTCCTTTTGTATCAGTAATGGCGAATCTCATATTGCTGATTTAGTATATCGATTGACATGCCTACGAAACCATCTAATATGTTTTTACTCGATATTATTCACTTGCTTGAACTCTTTTTTTATTACGTTTTATTTTGTAAAGAAAGTTGAGTCACTTTACGCATGTAAATTGTATTTTTCTGTAACAACATGGTCCACAAAAGAACGAAAAAAACATACTTTTTCGTTTACTATTATTCGAATAATCACAGCACTATACTCTATACTCTAAAAAAACATCGAAAAACCAAAGCGTTTATAGTTTTCATCGCAAAAAGGATTTATTAAATAGCAACCAAAAATGCAAAACATATTTTACAGTGAGTATCAAACCCCGCAACAGTACTGAAAAAGTACTTAGACTATAACACTCGTTCACCAGACAAAAATTTTGTTGATAGGGCGCAACTGTCTATGTTTATTTTAGCTTAATTCTCTGTAAACTAGTCCACGACATGACTGAGTGATTTGCGCGTATTTTCTCTTTTATTTTCTGTGAGGAAACTTCAGTATTGCATAATAGGATCAGAGTTTCTCGATCAACCGAGATACCAGCATCGTTTTACTTTTTTATTGAAACATTCGTCCATTAACCTCCTCTTCGAAAAGAAGGTTTAGAGTAAACGTTTTATCAGACATACTGTAAAAAATAAATCAGTTTTGTAGCAAACACTGTTAGATCATTGAGTATTTTGTTATTCTCTAAAATACTCGCTTAGTTTGGTGATCAGCCGCTATGAATTTTTAAACAGTACACATACATTCCGAAGTGAAAAATCTATCGATAATTATCTGGTTTTATTCTGCAAGTCAAAGAGTGTATAGCGAATACCAATCTGTATGTGAAACTGAATTTATTTTATCACATACTATTTTTGATTCTCAACAGATTTTTAACCGGATTTCTTTCTGATATATAACCCATTGCAGTAAATGGTGCCTCTTCTTAGTTAGTGCGTTTCGTTTTTCCTGAACATTTATAGTTGTGATAGTCCCCGAGGTGAGATAAAGGCATTGGACCGACTATTCTAAAAACAAACGGTTCTCTAACGAACCTTTAAAGGTTTATACTTTTGCACCGAAATCCGAACTTTTAAAAGTTAAAAAAATTGCGTAGCACATTTGTGATTTTTTTTCAAAAACGGTTAAGTGACGCGGGTTTGAAAGGATCTTGGATCGTAAATTTATCTGAAAGAACCAAAACAAGTCAATATCTCTTGGTGGGTAAATAAGAAAAATGATTGTAGCAAGGAATCTACCGGTATTTACGACACTCAGTTTTCAAAACGTATACCTGCACTCGACAGTCAATACCATTACAAAAGTTGAGTCCGAAGTTACAGTCGACTTTTTTACAGCGAAGAGAACTTCAGGACTGCAGTCACTGCTTAGAACTATAGGTGTCAAAGGCACGGATTCTCTTTCTCGCTAAAATGGGCAAAGCAGAGCAAAACGTACAAAGTTTTAAGAAGAGATTTTAATAAAGCTATTCTTCTCAAAACAAAGGAGTGTCCAACATTTACTGTCAAGCATATTTCACACCACTTATAAAAGTCGTTCCCATTCTGCAAATGGAAGAACATTTATCTTTTTTTGGCATAATTTAGGCACATAACGAAACAAATACAGATACCAGCGTATTCCACAGAATCTATCTCTTTCCTGCATGTACTACTTTGTGCCAATAAGGGGTGGACTGGATAAGATAGATCGCTTTTTTTTCTAATTTTTGAGCACCAAAGCACATGTTGATATAAACCTTGTTTGGCAATTGTAAAAAACAGAAAGAAACACATAAAACAAAGTCGCAACTTGGTGGCTGCATTATATTGCGCTTTGAAATCTTTCGAAACAAAAAAGAAAATGGAGGAAAAAGAAGGAACGTAGAAAAGAACGAAATAGATCGACACAAGTCAAGTGGAGAAATATACAATATTAGTAGGGGGAAACAGGGCAAGAATATTAAATAGATGGACTAAAAACAGAGAAAGAGGTACGAAAGATGATACGGCAGTTGTTTTGGTGTCATATGATAGTACATCTGTGAGCGTGTGAGAGAAACACCTTCCTTCAGTAAGAAAAGTAACGTTTATGAAGGAGGAGGAGAGCATAGGTTCAAGCGATTCCAGGGCCATCATTCCGATTAAAATTGCTCCATGAACCGAGTGCTATCTCCTATATCAACTTTTGACATAAACAAATGTCGTCTCTAATTCTCGGTGACAAATGTTATGGAGGCGAACCGACTCTCTTGTGAACTGAAATCATATTTTACATACTCCTGTTTATGTAAAGCAGAAAAGGAAGGAGTCCAAGACGTGAGGGTGACCTACCTGATAGTATTTCTTCAGAGGGACGACATTTGTTTATGGCATGAAGTTAATACAGGAGATAGTAATCGCGGAAGACTCGGGGAATCAAATTGCTCGATAGCGACGTGTGCACTGATAACAAGTAACGTTCATCTGAGATTGAGTAACCCTTGGTTAGCGAATCTCAGTTGATTAGGATAAAGTTCATATGTTGTGCAGCTCTAATAGGGGGCCATCTTTAAATTGTGCCTCAGTGCCCAAAAATTATAAACAAAAGCAGCCCATTTTATCTAGTCCACCTGCTAAAAACGTGAGAAACCTGATCTCAACTAAACGAAAGGAACTTTAAGAAACGCGGATGTTAAAGGCAATACACAGACATCAACAATGCGCACGAACTGCGAAAAATAAAAGGAATGAATATTGCTGAACAAAATCAAACAAGTCTCATACGTATTTAAAGAGGGTTTGTATTTATCTATGAAACAGTCTTCGATTTTCCAAATTAAATTTAAAAACTTGGCTGGTTTCGTATATGTGTACACAGAAATTTTTCTACTACGAAACTCTTAGAGGTTCAGGTAACAAGCGAGAAACTCTTAAAAGTTGAGAGATGATTTACGAAACATTTTGTTTAGAAAATATAGCGTGTACAATTGAACCTTGAAGAATTAATTATAGTAGGTATCACAAGTATTGCAGTGTACTTTTTTCTAGAATGTACAATTGCTGATTAAAATATAGGAGAAAGGAAATGGCTTTACTACCAACAGAAAAATATATGAATATAAGAAACCTGTTAACAAATTTTATTATTGACACAATTATTAATGATGGCTTTATGGAATATATTTTATCATGTCGAAAGCAATGTCGAGATATAAACCGACGTTACCGTCCAATATCATTACGTGAATCAGAGAATTATCTACGAAACCATCAACTTCCATTACTGTTGACTGGTAGTTTTGCTGAAGGATTAAATATACCATCGTTGTTCAGTGATAAATGTACCATGGACATATCTGATTGTGATATTATCTATACAATACCATTATTGACATGCAATATGTCAGCTACTAATCGTAAAACCGCAGTATTTCTAATTAATACTCAACATACACATAGTGGATATTTGAATTTAATTCTTGATACAAATTCAAGAAATATTAAATCAATACCCTATGAATATGTATCAGATTTGAACTTAATTGCATATAAATGTGCGGATGGTAGAATTGTTTATTATCTACCATCATCAATATTACCGAAATCTTGATTAGAAATTGTGGAAAATCAAACAACAGAACGACATGGACCAGCACAACAAATTGATAGTGAATATAGAGCATCGGGATTAAATGTAATATATTCAAAGGATTTTGTTGTTGCTTTACAATGTCTATCATGGCCAGCTCCAGAATGGATTGAACGGCAACGATCCGATCTATGGCCAAAGTCATCTACTATAAAAATAATTGTTCAACAAGGTTGTCATGTAGTACCAGTGTTTCATGCTAAAAGTAATCAACCAGATATTGAATGGCGATATTCATTTTCCTATGCTGAATTAATATTAGCAGAAGAGATACCTTACTATACACGTAAAACTTATTTGATATTTAAACTATTGTGTAAAAAATATTTAAATCCATATTTTCCATTAAAAACCTATTATTTAAAAACAATATTATTCTGGTGTTGTGAAGAATATCCAGCCATATTTCTAGAGAATAATAATGATCTATTAGTCGTTAAAATTCAATTTATTGCTACTAAATTAGATAAACTCATGGAGCGGTTATCAAAATCAATTGAGAAACAAGAATTACCAAATTATTTTATTCGAACAAATAATATGTTTGATTGTTGTATCGATTCACATACAGCATCAATAATCGAAAAAATACAATATTTAAGACAAAATT